ATGGAAGGATGTCATCAGAGCGCTCGCCATGTGCAACGGCGGGCACGCTGATGACATCCTCAGGAAGGGGTTGGGGCGCACGGTGTCCGGCTGCCCCTCCCCTTCCTTGGCTTGAAGACAGCGCTTTGTGCCATCTGCAAAGCCCCTTAGTCTCAAAGGTGATGCAAGAACCCTTTGCTTACTGGCTATTGCAGAAGTTCTTTTAAGTGAGGTATGCTTGTTTTTATCAATTTTTTTGCTACCTTTAAACCTATTTTAAATAGTTCATTTTTAAATACAGTTGCAACAGCCAAGACAAATACTGAGTTAAACAGTCAATTCCTCTAAATATTCTTTAAGAAATGTTGCTCCTCCTTTTATTTTGGTGGTGACAGAGTATGCCTTTAAAATATGCAGCGGGCAATGATTCTTCCCAAGGAATTCCGCATCTGATCTAGCCTTTTGTGGGCCTTTGATCTGTGTAGTGTCTCTGACCATATAATTACAAGCCACAGCCAAGTGAGTAACTACTAGGTTTAAAAAACAAAGCAGTGCAGAGCACAGAAGCAGGATAGTCCTAAAGATGTGCTGCCAATTATCTGAAGAGCTGCCATATTAGGAAGGGAATTAGAAGCAGGAATAGGTGGGAATCAAAGATCAATTACCTCATGACTTGTCTGCTTGAGGAACATCTAGTGGATCTGACAGAAAGTAACTAGATAACAGCCTCTGATCACAAAACACTTTCATGGTCAATAGGAACCCTGCAATTAAATGAATAGTCCTGTTCTCTTATAAGTGCCTCGTGGTCAGGGAGAGTTAAAAATAGTGATAGCCATGAATGTGGAGTTTGGGAACTTTGTATCATGGCAATTACTTGGATGTTTATTTTTGTCTAATAAGCCTATATATGAAATTGTCAGGGACTCTGCTAAGATGAAGAAGAAATCAGGAGAAGAATAACATCACACTTCCTGAGGAATGAAAACAGGAGGATTCTGTAGAGTTCATCACTTGAAGAGTATATGCACTTATCTTAGGACTTTAACACACAGGGACCAGTTCTGTCTTTAAAGAGATAATAAAGTCCAAATAAATCACTCCAAAAATAAAGCAAAAATAGTGCTTAATTGCGTGAATGAATATCACACGCAATTAGAATAAATGCGTAATAACACGGAAAGCAAAAAAAAAAACTTTTGTGTTTCATACAAAAGTGAACAAATTCTGTATATGAAGTAGAAATTGTGTACTTGCACATGCAAAGAGGGATGCATAGTTAGTGCATCACAGGAACCTTCCTTGCTTCAGTTCCTGTGTGACACTTCTTCTTTGTGTTCCCACGTTATTTCATCATTACAATATTTCTTATTCTCAACAGTTGTATTTTTGCTTTATGAGAATGGATACACTTCTGTTGTTGATGCTGCAGTTAATTACAAGGTATGAGGCATTTGAGAGGGTGCATGGGAAA